CTAATTAAAAGATGGGTATTAAAGGTGAGTATTAAGTGGTCAGAAATTTCCCAAGGGAGAGCAAACAACCCAGAATTTAGAACAGGGGTCATGGAGCATGGGATGTCTAATATGTGCCTTAAGTGGGACATTTTTCTGTCTGGAATCAAGGGTGATACTACGGACCTGTTACTACCCAAGCTAACAGTTTCATGAACACGACAGACAGGCATGTTAAGTAAGCACTTTCTGGCTGTCTGAGCCACCCATGCCATCCCAGGCTGCCACTTTGGGAAGGTGGTGGAACCTTTGAGGTGGGACCTGTGCTTATTGGGGGTGTGTTTAAACAACAAGCTTTTATAGTCTCACAGTTTGTGTTGGTGAGGAATTTGGGCAGCTTAGCTGGATGCTTCTGGGTCAAGCTGTCTCAGGAGTTTGCAGTGAAGATGTCAGCCAGGGCTGCAGTCAGCAAAGGCTTGACTGGGGCTAGAAGATCCACTTCCAGGATCGCCATGGGGTCCTCTCTTACAGCATGGCCGCTGGCTCCCCCTGGAGAACTGATCCAAGAGACAAGCCACGATACCTCTTAAACCTAGTTTCAGACATCCCACGTCCTTGTTCGGCAATGTTCTATTTACCCAGGCTACCCACCCCTCTTCAGCAGGGGAGGGGGCTGCATAAAGTACATGGATGCAAGAAGGCAGAGATTAGTGGGGCCATCTTGACGACTGGCATTCCCAACTGTTTGCACTCCCTGTCAGGCTTTCAGTGTTTTAACCAGTGCCTGGCACATTGTAGACACTCAAATACCAATTTCTGAATGGAAAAAAAGGGGGGGAGGTCTAATTAGTTCATCTAGTTCAAACAGTAAGTGGGGATTCACAAAGTAAACCTGCCCTCTTTGCATTTCCTGCAAATTCTCAGGGATGTTAAGCCCAGCTCTTGATTTGCTCCTCTTGGCTCCAAAACCTGGGTATCCTACTCAAAGGGTTAGGAAGATACTGTCGGGCCCCAGCCCTGGCTGAGGTGAGCATCCTGCCCTGGGCACGCGCCCTCTTCTGCGGAAGCTCCCGGGCAGCTGCTCATTCCTCAGATGTTTGTACTGGAGGAAGGGCAACTGGGAGAATTGGAAAGTGCTGGTTTCACCTTATTTGCTTGTTCCACATCAGCTGCCTTCCAATGAGGACGCGGAAGCTGCACAAACATTTCTGTCAAGTGCCTCTTTTTTTTGTGGCTCTGCCAGATCCCAAATCTCCATCGCAAGGAGCAAGGGAAGCGGCTGACTCGCAGCCTGCAGTCCGGATGTCTCCCTGGTGTGTCTGCCCCTGAAAACACGGCTCTTCAATAATGCATGGAGCTATTAGCACCAGGCCCAGGACGACTTGCTCCCTCCTGGCAATCAAAGCTGCCGCCCAGGAGCCCAGAGGTTGATCAGATTTCATGGGCTCCTTATAACTGCTGCTCCTGGTAGGAGATTAGAATGGGCTGTTTCATGTCCAGGGATGAAAGCAGCAAGGATTTGGGAGAAAATCCGGCTTCCCAGAGAAATCAAAACGTTTCTATTTCATTACAAATGGATGCATGACACAGCTAATCGCTCCTGTGAGAGGCAGCGCTGCGGGACCAGCTGCTACCTCGGCAGCTCTTCTCAGATGCTACATAACGTGCGTAGGATGCAGGACCGGGGAAGCCACTCCATTTCCTTATGTCTAGGGCATCTCTTGGACCATAGGTATCTGTCACGAATCCCTGGGAGATTAGCCTCCATCCCACAGTACTAGGAAGGTGGGTGCAACCCCCTTGGAGGTAATGGGGTGACTGAAGCCGAGGACCACTGAGGAGCAGGAGGCTGCAGCCGGCAGCTGCCATAATATTAATAGCTCCTCATTACTGTGCACGATCATATGTCCAGCATTTTGCATACAGTATGCCACTAATCCTAGCAGCAACTGGCAGTGTATTATTAGATCTTGCTACAATGAAGAAAATGAAGAAACTGAGGATCAGAGAGCTTAAGAGATCTTCTCAAGGCCACCCGGTTAAGACGCGCTGGAGCCAAGTGAAACCCTAGGGCTGTGTTTCTGCCCCAGCACCAGCTGCTCCCTCAGGTCCTCCAGAAGCAAAGCCGAAGTCCATAGCAAAAGGGAGAGCCCCAGGAGGAGCAGGCCTTCCCCCATACGTGAGAAGTATGGGGCATTTAGCCAGCATCACCATGGGAACTGTCTGTTGGGATCTCAGAGGCTTCCCAGTCAGTCTCGGCCTGCATCCCAGCTAGTTTCTGTGTCTTCTCCAGGGAGCTCTGTCTTTTGACCCAGGGGTCGTATGAGCTGAGATTCTGATGTATTCTGGTTACTGACTCTGAGCTCTTGGTAGGTGATTATCCTCTCTGGCCTTGCTTCCGTTATCTGTGAATTAGAGAAAATGATACCCCCTTAGTGGCAAGCCAGAAGGGGAGATGCTCAGGCCATGTGGTTAAGAGGGACTCTCCTGATTGGAGACCACACAAGTGCCTGCCTCAGCCTCCACGCCCATGCCTTCCTTCCTCTGCTGTCACATTGCCTCTTGTGCCTAAGTCCCCAGACTCTGAAGTTTGAGTCAAATCTGTTTCTTCTAGAAGACATTTTGCATGTTGGCATTCCCAGTAGCCTTCCCTGGAGGGGACTGGGCTCCACCCAGCATTTCCAGCTTTATGAGGTGAGGTCCCATTTCACCAGCTCAGCCTGGAGCTACATGGGGCAGGCTCTACCTCCACCTCCTATCAGCCTCCCCAATCCCTGCCTGGGCATCCAGCCCGGCACAAGCCCCAGCAGGGCTGCTGGTGACCTTGTAGACCTGGCTTCAGCATGTTGGGTCAGCTCTGGGGAAAGGACCATCAACTCTTTCAATGCCCCTGCCCCATGGACAAAAGGGATCTGCCTGCAGGCGGGGGAGTCAGAGGTAAGCACCCTCAGCACCCTCCCTGCCCAGGATTGAATGTGTCTGTGCCCCTGACGTACCCAAAGCAAAGATGCCATCTGGGAAGGCTACCCACCCACCCTCGGCCCGACTAGGCATTCAAGGGGTGGACTGAGTCTAATTCATGTGCCTGTCACTTCTGCACAGGGAGATGCTCTGAGTTTAGAGAGACACTGGGGACTGATGAGGATTGGAGCTGAGGTTTGCCATATAGGAGTGCGTCTCAGGAAACAAGGAGATTTGGCAAAACTGAGTTGGAGAGAAGGAAGCTCAGCCACGGAGCTCTGTCTGGGACACTTATAAATATTTGCATGCAAACTGCGGAGCTTGTGCTCCTACACAGAGCTCCCATCCCTGGCTGTCCGCTGCCAGATTTGCTCTCATTACTGCCAAAGTCATCTTTCTGCTCTCTGTGTCACCCGCCATCTGTCCACCCAGGAAAGATGGCAGTGTCAGTGTACATGCATGCACTCTGTCTCCAGGTGTCTCCTCAGGGGCCAGCTACACTTGGGCACTCAGTGTGATTGAAGTGCAGACAGCTGGAAATGTGGTCCATTCCTGGCCCAGCTGCAAGCACCCCAACCTGTATTAAACACCCTGCATATGCCTCTGAGCCCGTGGCTAGCTGTTGGCTCAGAGATGTCCCGAGGATCACCTGTCCAGCACAACTGAAAACTGGCCATTCTGACTACAATGACAGCACTTTTCCCCATACATGGGCCATACATAGACAACATCCCCTCCAATGGCCCTCAGCTGTCCACTCACCAGTCCCTGAGGGCCTTTGGTGGCTTCCTCACCTTTCCCCCCACAGACTCCCTCTCTCTGACTTTGTTCCCTGCTAATGGATGCTCCCTTCTATTGGGCCCAGAAGTCACTGTGCTCACAGATCTCTTGGCCGCCAGCCTGTGGTCCATCTTTCCTAGATGGGCATGTTGCAGCTGGGTGATAAGGGCATGGGCCATTTCCACTTGCCTCAACTGTCCACTTCCTGGCTGTCCGCTTTTCTCCTCAGACCCCAGCTCAGAGGTTTACCCGTTTTAATTTTTTCCCCTTTTTAAATTTTTTGTTATTTTTTATTTTTGCAATACTGGGGATTGAATCCAGGGCCTTGCACATGCTAGGCAAGTGCTCTTCCGCTGAGTTACATCCCTAGCCCTTTTTATACTTCTTATTCAGAGACTGGATCTAAGTTACTCAGGCTGGCCTTGATATGTAATCCTCCTGCCTCCTGAGTAGCTGGAATTACTGGCATGCACCAATGTGTCCACTAAAAATTTTTGCTCTTAAACTTTTGATCTGGAAATAATTTTTGATTCACCTGTAGTTATAAGAGAGATCTCAAGTAATCTTGACCCCATTTCCCCCAGAGAGAACACCTTGCAATGCTCTAGTCCAATATAGCAAACAGGATATGGAGAGACTAGTGTTGCTACAAGCAAGATACAGAACAGGGGTGTCCCAAGGATCCCTCATGCTGCTCATTTCCAGCCACACCTGCGCCTCTCTCACCCTGCTACTTCCTTAGTCACAGCTGGAAGGTTTCTAAGCTCCTCTTTGCTGGGATCCTTGGCTCCCCTCCCCTGACACATCCCTTGGGCTGGGCACCCACCGCTCTCCATCTTCCACCCCCTCAAACTCAGAAGCGGCCTCGTTGTGTACTAGGAGGAAGGAGCTCTGCCTGGGAGACAGTGCAGCCGGCGCCTCCCTGGGGAAACACGTCAAGCGTGGTCCCTCCCCAGGCTCAGTGACCTCACTCACGGCAGGGAGTCAAAGCAAGCAGTCTCTGCAGAGCCCCAGCCCTACCGCAGAACGGCCGTTGTGAGATCTCCTACTCAAACTCCTAATGCGTGTACGGTGGAACCCAGCCCTGGCCACAGCACGGTCGGCCTGAGGAAAGTCAGATTTTCCCTGTCAGAATCCTCTTCCCTTGGCTCTGCTCTCAGGTAGCTCTCAGGGTCTACCAACCTTGCTGTTCGTTTGTAACTGGGCATGTCAGGACAAAGGCCTGCATGGCCCATGCACTATTTAACTCAAGTACTTGTCTGTTCTTTCTTGTGCTTCAGAAGCTACTTGTGGATTGAAGCAAAGCCTCCGCTCGCTGCTCAGGGACAAGACACAGCTGCTTCGTCCTCTAATGCTGCACATGCAGGAGCCAGCACCCTGGGACACTTTGATGCCTCCTTTGGACAGGGCAGGGGGCCTTGATTGAGCACATAGCTCCAAGAAGAGAAGTGTAAACAGACATCCATGTAATGAATGTAAATTTTTCCCTCTGATGTGCATATGGCTCCAGTTTGCTTTCAGCAAGGCCGGGGAGGAATCTTTCAACAGGAAGAAGATCAGAGCAGATGTCAAGGGGCACCAAGCCTGCTCTGAGCTGTGTGACCCTGGTGCGACCACACTTCCTTTCTGCTATGGCAGGGTTTTGCATCAGGAGCTCTCTGGGTCTGGCTGACAGTTGCCTCTACTGACTGGTTGGTGGCCGCCCAAGCAGACGGGCACCATACCCGTCTCTTTCAGGGTACGCTTTTGAGCTCATGCAGTGCAGAAGGCATTGGATGCCTTTGCAATTCCTGGAGAGTGACAGTGGCTCTAGACTGTGCACTGGGGTGACCAGGCTCAGACCCAGTGAGCATGACCTGAGCACCCCCAGGTTTCCACACTGGACTGGCCTTTTCATGATGGCCTCAATCTTGCTCGCCTTCTGAGGAATCAGGTCCTTCTTGACCCAGTGCTGGGTCACTCGCTTTGCCTCTGCACCCTCCTTCTCCCAGAGCTGTCATTCAGCCTGGCACCTCACCTTTTTTTTTTTTTTTTTTTGCAGGGGAGAGGTTGTGTGGGCATGTTTGCACAGTCCTGGGGATTAAACCCAGGGCCAGCATGTGCTTAGCAAGTGCTCTAGCACTGGCCTCATCTCATTTATTTTGAGAGATAGGGTCTATTTTGAGACAGAATCTTTCTAAGTTGCTGAGGCTGCCCTGGAACTCTCGATCCTCCTGTCTCAGCCTCCTGAGTCATTGGGATTACAGGTGTATTCCACTGCACCTGGCTGGTCTGTCTCTCTCTCTCTCTCTCTCTCTCTCTCTCTCTCTCTCTCTCTCTCCTTTCTCTTCAGTGCTGGGGATGGAGAGCTCAGGGCCTCACACATGCTAGGCAAGCTCTATACAACTGAACTATGTCCTCAGCTCTTCCTCTTTCAATACAAAAGATAAAAATGTGAATCCCAAGGTTGGCATATTCTCTGTCCTTGAGTGTCAAATGTCCCTTCCTCTGTGGAGCACTCAAAGCCTCTCTTTCCCCACGATGCAGCCCTTTCTTGCATCCTCTCAGGCCCTTATCACACTGTGGCTCTAGTTATTTCACACCTGACTTTGCTACTTTGAGCTCCCCAGTGTATGAATACTGAATCTTTCAGTCGCTGGTGACCCCTGACTCCAAGCACGTGTTGAACAAAAGCAACAGCAGTGCTTGGCTCATGCCTTCCTTGAGGCCGAAGACTAGGAATTAAGGTTTAGGGAGGTAGGCAGACCCCAGCAGAGGTAATGCAGGATAAACTCAGTTAACATGAGAGTGACCTTGTGACACAGCAGTGCTTATCCATCAGACACTCTGGAGCAAGGAAAGCTGGTGGCACCAAAGTGCTCTGTGTCAGCTATGGATCCCATGGGGCAAAGCCTGGCCTGCTTCCTCAGGCCATCTGCAAACTTTTCTTGGCCCACAGATCTCAGGGGATGCCTCCAGTGGACATGCTTTGTGTCCTGCTAGAGCCTTACCTCTAAGGGAAAGCAAGCCCACAGCTCTCTGAGACTTCTAAGAAGATTGGTGGAGTGGTTATTGCTTTCTAGATCACTGTGCATTTTACTAGAAACACACCAATCATCTTTTGCACAATCACAGCCAAAATCCACAGCCTACAGGAACAGAATGTTCTAGGCCCACCCTCCTCTCTTCCTGGGGGAGTAGAATTCAGAGCAAAGGCCATACCCAGAGGAGCAGCACAATGGGTCTGGGCCTTGGCTTGAACACTGTGTGAGACCTGCCTAACACAGACACAGCTCATTGGGGAGATACCTGGGCTCCAGCCCAATTTTTCTACATGTGACTCCTTTGTCTCTATTCAGGATTTCCAAAGAAGCAGGGCCCCGGCCCTGCTCCAATATATACTGAGCCCAAAGTTCACATATGCCTTTTTTTTTCATTTATTTTTTATTATTATTTTTAAAATGTGGTGCTGAGGATGGAACCCAGTGGCCCATGCATGCTAGGCGAGCACTCTACCTCTGAGCCACAACCCCAGCCCCACATATGCCATCTTGAAAAAGGGGAGAGAGAGACCTCCTGGGCTGACTGAGGGCCTGAGGTGCTGGTAAAGCAGCCACCGAAACTTGACCAAGGAACCCAGCACCCAGGGCTGTAACTGGGGAGCTGCCTAAAGGTGAAGAAGGTCCCCCAGAGGGAGCAATGGGGAAGGGGAGGATGGGGGCATGCACAGGTTGAAGTTGGCAAGGATGTGGTAGAGCAAGTTCTGGAAGGATGGATAGGTACAGAGAGGGACAGGGAGGAACGTCCAGCCCCAGACCTCCTCCAGGAAGTGTGTGTCCTCTCCAAAAACAAAACTGACCAAGAATGTGGCAGCTGGGAGAGGACCTCTCCTCCCTGCAGAGGCTCAGCCAGCACCTCAGAGGCTCTGCCACCCAGGACCACGCATGACTTACTGGGTCACCTCCTCCTGGGCCAAGCCCTGCCTCTATCTCTAAAACCTTTGACCTCAAAAAGGCACCCCCTGCCCCCTTCCAGAGAACGACATTGCCAGGTGTGCCTTCTGTCCTGTCATCTGTGCTCCTAGAAGCTCTGAATGTCCCTCCGCCTGGACATTGACCACCCAGCCTGGGAAGTTAGATTCACCCCACCCCTCACTCACCCCAGCCCAGAGGAAAGGATCAGAATCTGGGGTTCAAAGACACCTGAGTTTCCTGACACAGGCAGGTGGTTCATCCCACACTGCTCTCAGCCTTCATCTCCTGGTCTGTAGGGTGGGTGCACCCACTTATCTTGCAGTTGATTTGGAGATTCAGGGAGATTGCCATTCAGTAAGTGCTCACTAAATGGTCACTTCCTGTTTTCTCCCTCCTTGACCTACCCACTCTGGGGGCCTCTCCTGCAGCCTGTCTTTGGGGCTGAGGCCAATGTTGGCCACATGACTGCTTTGGGCTGGGAAAGCACACCTCAGACACTGACTTCCCCATATTCATGAGGGCAGCAGAGAAGCCATGGGTGGAGCCAAGATAAAAATGGAACACAAGATGTGTAGGAAGGGGAGGGGCCTAGGATGAGGGAGATTCAGGGTCCCGATTATTTCTTGTTCCAGCTAGTCCCAGCCCCCTGGCAGTATCCACCTGGGTTCCACCCTTCCTCTCCCCAGATGGCCAGGGCAGCACTAGGGAAGAGTTGTCAGCCCTACATGTCGATGGACAGGATGCAGCTCAGACCCCAACCCTTGAGGCCCGATGAGCCTTCCCAAGCCCTCAGCACCCCTGAGATTCCCCAGGACCCAGAGAGGACAAAGAGCCCTCCTTTGGTGAGCAGATTCTGCTAAACCGAGGAGAGCAAGGAGAACCAGGAAAGAGCTCCCAGGGCACCTGCTGCCAGAGCCAGGCCTTGCTCACCAGCCCTACCCCACGCTGGGAAACCCCACCTCTCGCCTGCCCCTGTTTTTCAGCAGGGGTCATCTCGGAGGAGCTGGGGCTAGATCCCTCCTGCCAGCTGAGAGCCAACTCCAGGCCACCCAGCCTTTCTGGGCAGAGCCAGGGCCCCAGGTGCCAAGGCCGCCCCACATCTCTCCTTGGCAGTCCAGGCACCTTTTTGTTTTAGATCTGCACAAAAGTTGCAAAGAATACAGAGAGTTCCCATGCATCCTGCACCCACCTTCTGCTAATGTGAACATCTTACATAACCACGGTACATTTGTCAAAGAGACGAAATTAACATTGGAACAATACTATTAACCCGACTGCAGACTTTATTTGGATGTCACCAGTTTTTCCTTCCTGGACACTAAATGGTCATTTTTCTGGTGCAGGCTCTAATCCCAGCCACCATGTTTCACTTGGTTGTCACATCGCCTTAGTCTCTTTCTTTAAGAAAGAGACTGAACATTTTCTCAGTCTTTCCCTCTTTCTCATGACCCTGACAGTTTTTTTTCCCTCCAGTGTGGTAAAGTATATGGCTATGTAGCATAAAATTTGCTATTTTAACCGTAGTTAAGCACACAGTTTGGTGGCATCAATTGCACTCGTAATGTTGTGTAACCATCAGCACTATTTCGACAATGTTTTCATCACCACCAGAAGGAACTTTGTACCCATTAAGCAATGCCTCTCTCTCCCTCTTCTCCCAGGTACTTCTTAAGAGATGCAAAGGAGCCCCCACCTAAGCCTTGAGCCCAGGAAAATGTTCCTGGCCAGAACCGGTCCCTCTGGACCCCACTGCTGCACAGAGGCCTGTGGGAGTCCTGGCCGTGTGGCACCCACTGTGGGCCTTTCCTTGATCCTTACCAAAACGTGGACCTTCTAAGGGACAGAGGGGTCATTTCTCTGGAAACTATCCTGCGTGGGCTTTCTACCAAAGGTTGGGACACCTCCTTCATTGTGTCCACCAACAGTCTGACTAAACTCAACCACTGGCCTGGCATTTCTCTTCCTGGGGCCAATGGCGCTGTCAGGGCAGCTTCTCTTGAAGAGGAGAAGGCTCTGCTGCTGTCCTGACCTTGGGATGCCCTCCTCAGAGGGCTGACCCCAAGTGCCAAGGGCCTGCTGGGCACAGGATGGCCTAGAAGCCAGGCATGTGCCCAGGTTCAGGGGGCGTGCATATCCCACCTTCTAATATGCCCTGAGCATCTGTGTGCCTGGCTTCCCGCCCGTGCAGCAGCCCCCTGACCACCATCTGCAGGTGCAGCCTTGCCACAGACCAGGCACGCAAGACTGGCTGCCCATAGCCAGACTCCTGTCATTTGGCTCCAGCCACCTGTCCCAACACTCAGGCCCTCTGCCTGACATGCTTGCTGCCTGCCACACCTGCTGCCAGGCCCCCACACACCCTGGCTCCTCTTTCCTGCTGGCCTCCCTCCTACCGCCTGCATCTCCCCACTCACCCGTGTCTAGTTCTAGGTCAGGGCTCCTCCATCAGCCCATTAACACTGTGGGCCTGTCTCTGTTGGGCATATGCAAATGCCGCGTTGCCAAGCAGCCTGGGCTGGTCATGGGTGAGCCCGGGCCTTCTCT